TACTAGGAAAAATTTCTTCACCGAGTCAGTGGACAAGCATTGGAACAGGCTGCCCAGGGAGATGGTGGAGTCACCATCTCTGGAAGCGTTCAAAAAACGTGTGGATGTGGCACTTCAGGACATGGTTTAGGGTACGCGGTGGCGCTGGATTAATGGTTGGACTTCATGATCTTGAAGGTCCTTTCCAACCTTAGTGATTCTGTGTGAAAAGAATAATTGGATGCTGGATCAACCCATAAGGTAGAGGCAACATACACCTGGAAACTTTCACAGGAGAAAAGATGTTAGAGAAGACAATAGGGGATTCCTCTCCATACCCAGGATGGAGGGAAGGCATAAGGTAACATGAAAAATAGAGCCCTATTACCTGCTTGCATGGTCACCAGAAGGCATAGCTCCAAGATGAACACTGATCAGATGTGGCTCAGCTAAGCTCTAGTGCTGTAGATGGGCTGGGATTAGTACCAAAAGATAAAAATCATGTTTACTGCAGCAACTGTTGTCACGCTGGATGACACAGGGAGCAAGTATGTCTTGACTTGGGAGACGACAATCATTCCCAAAGAGTGTGCTCTTTGTAAGAGGACAGAAAAATACAAAGAGGCTGGTTTGCCAACCCGAGAAAGAATAGGCAGACACGATAACCTACAAAGACAAATATCCATGGCCTTTGAGGAGTATCTGTGACACTGTGAGACTTTTACCATGGAAACTCGCATGCAAGTGCTGAAAACCAGATGGAGTAAGTGACTGCCAAAGTTAAAAGCTCACTCCTCACAAAGCAGATGGATGCATCAGGTCAAAGGTTGCTGCTGGATATGAACTTGACACTAGAACTCCGGCCAGGAATGGAGAAAGATCTGAAATCAGATGAGTCCCTGGCACCACTCAGAGATGGAAGATTTACATGGTTTAAGGAAAGGGGTTATATTCCAGACAATTAGATTTGGAAACTGGCACCATCAGCTACAAGGATCCAGAGAAAGTCTCTGAACAACTGCAAGACTTTTTCCAGCAAGCTTACAGTTGTCAACACAAGCTGGCAACGGAACTGGAGGGAAGCATGCCCGCTAGCTGCATTCATTTAGTCCCCAAATTTATCCACCCACATATCTCATAACCTTCCTTTGAGGTACTGTGGAGTGGGAGCAGATGGCCACATCAACTTCAAACAAGAGAAAACAGGGCTGAAAGCAACCTCCTGAGGATGCGCTGTATTTAACCCGACGTGCTCGCCTAGCCTGTTCTTCACAGTCTGCAGTACTGACAGTCCTATGGCCTCACCAGACAAGTGCTTACTACCAGAAAGTTTATCTTACTATTTATCTAAGTTTTCTTTACCATAAGGGTATACAGTGGTAATCACAACTTTTAATCCTATCACCAGTGGACAGAGAACAATTTCTTTCTTTCATCTCTGCAGCGATTTCTTACATACTGGAAAAATGCATCTTCCCTTAGTCTTCTCTTCTTTAGACAAAAACACCACTTCTTTTAGTTTTCCCTCATTAATCACATTTTTAGGCCTCTGATCATGTGTTCTCCTTCAGAGTCTCTACAGTTGTCCACATCCTTTTTTGAAGTACAGTACTCAAAACTGGACACATTCCACCAAAGTATTACTAATGCCATGTAAAGCCAAGGGATTATTTTAAGTTTTACAGAACAGTCATGTTAATCACTATTTTTTTCAACTGTGTATCATTATTGTTTCCTGTTTCCTGCTGTTTTTATTGACATATTCATCCTCTTGGGAGCACACAGGTAATTATTCCTGCCTTTCTACTTTGAACTTAAAATGACTTGTTGGAAAAATGGCCTAAAAGGCATATAAATCAAGATTATCTGAATTTTAACCTTGCCCTTCAACATGTTTGTAACCCCCTTGACATGACAGTCTCCTAAGCTCCTTTTCTGCTTAAATGTGTGACTGCTACCCTTCCTCTTACCATATATAGTACCAGATACAGTTAAGGATCTCTACAGGCTTCTTAAGTCAGCTGATTTAAGAATACGGGCAGACCTGGAGACACAGGGAAGGCACAGACATCAAGCAGCAATGGCTTCCCTCTTTGCCAGGGAAAGGAAAAAAATGCCTTGACAAGATTACCATCAGAAAATTACTGGAGTTACTCAAGCACTCTCAAACTAGACAGCCAAACACTTTCACAGATGGAAGCTGGACAAGTGCTTAGCATGAAAAAATCTGGTTTTGTAACAGGTTTTATTATACCATACATACTACTTCTAACAGCGCCTATTGATGTCTATGGAAACAGATGCCTTATCCTTGCAAATTACTCTGAAGAGTAAACTCCCTGGCACTGCTCTCTAATTCCTTCCCTTTCTTGGCAAGCATCCCAATTTTGCTGGAAAGTCCCTTCCTTTTCTAAGAGAGCAAAACACCTTTTCACACTCTCATCACTCTGCCTCTGAAAGCGCTCACTCCAGGCTTTCATGTTCTTGCTTTGACTAAATCCCACTCTATTCCTGGGCTATCTTGCAAAACCCTCGATGTGACTGCTTGTGGGATTGTAGCGTACTGACTTCCTCACTCAGCGTGGAAATGGGAGTCATGAAGGAAGGTGATGATGTATATCATAACCGGTGTAACAGCAGCAGGGAAGGCTTTCCTAGAGCAGGTGATAGACTAGGTGCATGTTCACCCAAGTCACAGAACTCTACCCTATCTTCCCACTGGAGATCCTCCTCTCTAACATCTCTCATGATGTTCCCAGAGGCAAGTAAAGCTTCCTGAAAGCAGCCAGTTCCTGTGTTAACCACATGAGAACTGGCCAGTTTCTGAAAAATCTATTTTTAAACTAACCTTTGAGCTCAGAGGCATAAAAATCTAAACTGCCATGCTCTTGTGATACAGTTTTTTCTGCCTTGCAAAACCCTCTTCTCTCTCCATTTTTTATTTCCCTAGTTGCAGCAGGACAGCTACAGACTCTAGCTAAAACTTCAAGAGTGGGTAATATTTTTATGATATAGAAACAGTATTAAATGATTTTTAATTATTTCAGAATTTACTTGTACGAAAAAATTCCCAAATATCAACTTGAAGAAGAGATTGTTGAGAATGAAGGGACAAGTGCTTCGCCTGCAGAAGGAATACACTGTCCCCATGGGATAAGGTGTAATGAGAAGATGTGGGAAGCATCTCCCTTGCCATGTCAAAGGAACATTACTGACTTGGCAAAGAAAGGGGAGGCACTGCTTTCTAAAGGGTAAGAAAAGGAGCAAAGTACATATTAAAACCAACTACTTAATCTTTCTTCAGGTTTGTCGCTTCTTACTGACCAGTGACAAAAAGGGAGGAGAGAGCTGCTTGCAGACCATTGGTTACATTCTGTGAGAAAACACTCAGCAAAGCTAAGTGCAGGTATAAAGACAGATGAAGATACATTACTTCAGGCCAGCACTAGTTTAGCTGTGCTGGAAAGTCCATTCCAGGGTCTATTTTTCATTCACCTGTATTATGATCAATGTAGATCTACGTTTAATAATTTTTTTGTGCAATGCTCTAACCTCTTTAAACAACTGCTGATCAGTGGCCTAATGCTGTTGCCTCCACATAGTTCTTGCTGATTTCCATGCCTTTGGGATATGTATACTTGAGGGTTAACTAACCAGAGCTGCTTTTGGCCTCAACTGCCAAGAGGTTTTCCATACAGAATGGTGGGTTGAAAAATTGCATCCAATTCAGCGATGACTGTCCTACATAAACAGGCTGGGTCGTGAAACCAGAGAAGCCATTCAGCTGTGTATATCTGAAACACCACTCTTTAATGTTGTCAGAATAACAAGATGATTGACTGGCTAGTGGTCCTCATTCACTGGGAGATGCGTTGTTTTACTACTGAGGCGATTCATTCCACTGAGTCTTGCTGGAATCTGGGGTCCTTCCACAGGTTTCTAGCCTGAGAACTTCTAACCACAGTTTGGGAAAAAAATTGTATTTCATAGCCACTAGTAAATTTAAATACTAGTTACTGTTCAACACAGGAAGAGATACACCTATACTTCTCAAGACTACTATTTTGTATAAGAAGGCTACATTTTGTACAGACACTTCTAACATTTCCTGACTTTGAGATTATCATCTTACCTGGGGGAGGAAAGGAAGCTTTTGCATATTTTCTTAGGTTTAAAACCAAAGAAAAACTCAAAGCCTCACCCAATCTGCTATCATATCAGGTCATGCTGACATAACACGTTCAAAAACAAAGCTGGAGCCTTCAGACACATTACGTTAATGTTTCCTCTTGAGCAAACTGAGTAATTGGTAACAGCAACAGCCTTAACTTCTAGATAGACATGTCTGGAGAGGAGAGAAATGCACACCCTGACAATGAATTGTACAACTGTTTTCTAAAGCAGGAAACAGCAGGACTTGGGATTTTCGAGTTCAATTATAAATGCATTAGAAGACTGCTTCCAGTAATTGCAGGCACCTTTCTATGTACTCTCTATTCCTCCATGCTCCAGCTTCTCCTGCTCTTCTCCTAGCTGTCTCCCACTCATCATTTCTCAGGCTCTCCTGCACTGTTTAACATTTATACTGTATATTTATAAATATGCCATATACCTCTTTCACTTCCTCCTCCCACCCAACAGAGATAGACAGAAAAAACTTTTCATTATATTTTTAATAGACATTCCTTGGCAATTTGTTATATGTGGCCTGTCTAAGCCAACAAAGCAATGCGTCAAATGCAGCCCTGGATTACCTCCCACAAATTCACTGGAAAAATGCTGAGGATGAATTTGGGTCTAAGACTTTTGTTAGTGAAACAGTTTGTATTTGCAAGTCATTTACCAAACAAAATCAAAAAGTCACCTAGTAAGATGGAGAGTGCAATGGCACAAGCAAACATTTGAACCTGAAACAGATGAAACAAGAAGAAGCCAAGAGCAATAAACTCATAAGGAAATGTAGATGCCTTTGACTAAGGCTAGACAGACATTTATTTGAAGCCAAGATTAGTAAGCCTTACCACTTATAGTTACGTGATCGTCCTTGGAGGCACTCTGTGTTTCTTTCAACTGGATCTCCGAGCTCACATCCACTTTTCTTCCAGACAATTCTAAATAGGCTTTGAGAGAGGCAGGTACCTTGACTGTAATTGAACCTGGTATAAATTTAAATGAAAGCTAGTTAGTTTAACATTGAGATCAAAGCATGAAACAGGCAATTATTTAGCTAACTTGAACCAAATAATCATTTGTTTGGGTGGTTGTTTTCTTTTAAGAGCCTTCAGACACAGTAGCCTCTTTTTTGTCTCTGAAAGGATAAATGAAGCTATCTTCATTTATCGTAACCAGAATACTATGTCACATGTAGAAAATGGTGTCACAGTATTCCCCTGGCAGACATGAAAATTAACATTGACATATACTGTTAGCAATGGCTCTTGGTAGAGGATCTTATTATAGGAATGATCAAGTGAAGCAAATCTAATAAATTTCACAAGTATTATGCAACTAGAAGATGAAACTAAAGTCATATTTACACTCCTGAGCAAGGACAGGGGATTGGATATGATGATTAATCCAGCCACTGCATGGCACATTATGAAAGAACTGCTCCTCCAGCATGAGGAGATGCCACATACATACTGTTAATGCTAGCAATTATCTTTGCTTTACTGCACAAGGACAGCTGTTCATACCTGTGAACAGATGCAGACTCAAAAGTGACTAACCAGTTTAGACTATGTATCACTAAAATCTAAACCACTAGCAAAATTGCAGCTTTGGTGCAATAATAATTCTACACTTGAGATTAAAACCAGAAATTCTTACTTCTACTTCCCCTAAATATGTGCTTCTATGCATCAAACTGAGGGCAGATGCTGGGTCCCCACCTGACCATGTTAGTCATATTTGGAATTACTCAGTCACAATGTTTGGAAGCTAAGCCCTACACATTAAAACAAAAACGTACCAAAATTCAGAATACGCTTTCTGTATATGTGCTCCTTAGTTTTTGCCCAATTCCAACATTCACTTTAGAAAAACATTAAATAGTTTATTTAAATACACCGCAAAAGCCGAAGCAGAACACAATAAGAAAACTTAGGTGTTATAACTACTAAGTAGCAGTCAGAAAGCAACCCCAGTTATGCAATTTAAACTCAGCAGAATGACTTGCCTGTGACAGTCCTGATGAACAAATAACTGCCAGTATAATTTAGGCCTAAATTTTGCTGGATACACAAAAGCCTTAGGATAAGAAAAGGAAAAGGTCTTCATCTTCGGGTCCTCCTTAGAGAGTTGCTCAGTGATGTGACTCATAAAATCCAACACACATGCAGCTAATTTATCACAAATGGGACATTTTTCTACACTGCAGCTGTCAGCAGTTACTCTGAATTTACAGAGTAAATGAAAACAGAACTTCATCAACTTTGACTTTATTAAACTGTGCTGCCAGAAGAGATGTCAGGCAGTGTTTTGAAAATAACATTAGTTAGCTTTTATTAAATACATTCCTCTCTGCTACCAATTAAGAGAGACATAAACTTAGTATTAGGTGATTCAAAAGGTACTAGGAAATAATATAAAAATAAATTTCTTTGCACTAATGGAACCAGAATAGCTTGTAGAAAAATGGCACACAAGTGATTTCAATGCATTTCCCTCATTATTCCCCTTCTGAGTACCTGCTGGGTTTTAATGGGCAGGACACGCAAGAGAAGGGTACCAAATACCACGTTCATTTAAACCACCTGAAATGTCTGACATGATGTTAAAGTCAATTATAGAAATGCTGTAATGTTGGGTTTTTTGCAAAACTAGGGACTAACAAGATATATTCAGGTCTTTGTTATTTGCTATTCAGAGGATATGCTACTGCAAAGCTATGAATCCAACTTCAGGGGTGAGTTTTTAATTAAGAAGTGAAATTCTAGTGAGTAATCAGAAGATAAAAGGAAGAATGGTAGGGTAAGGCCCTCTCATCTTTGTTTTTCTGCCTTCCAATTTCAATAATGAGACAGTTCACCAGGAAAAAGCAGGAAAAAAAATGGGAACAGGTGATGGTTGTCACTGCACATACATGTATCAGCACCATGGAGTAAACTGTGCTCAAGGCAAAGGAAGATTATAATTCAAGTCAACTCTGCAGAATTCCACTGGGTAGCTTGTCAGGAAAAAAATAAAGTATTGAAAAAAAAAAAAAAATTCTGTAATCCATTTTAAGTACCATTGCTCCTTACAGAGTTTACTGTATTACAAGTATTAATACACATTTTCTAATAATGAGGTAAAAAAGAATGTAGATCATGGTAGAATGATAACCCACAGTCACAAATTCATTTTTTCCAGACAGATAAACAAAAAGAACCCTTACCCCCTTTTCTTTTACATCATAAGCTGCCACAACAAGTATTTGTTTTAGTTTGCTTACCTTTCTGGGATTTCAGATCCACTTTTCTCAATTGACTGACATAAACATCTATTGCCCCATGATGTGTAGAAGCTTTTAGACTTCCATCTGAGGAATCTTAAAAAAAAAAAAAAAAAAAGAAAAGAAAAGAACTTGCGTATTATTCGCTCTTTTTAAATAAAAATATGCTAACATGCTAACATCTTTCTTTGTACTTTGAACTGTTTTGAACTGATTTTGTCAGTTCTTCTGCATTTGAGAAGTATCTTATATTCATTTACTGAATATCAGACTTCTCTTAGAAAAACAGGTTTCTGAATAAAACTTCTTTCCCCAGTCCAGAACTGCAGCATACACTGGTCCCAAGGCCATGGCCCTTCAGTTGTTAATGGACTTGCAGCATCTACAAGGCCTCAGCAACACTCCCATCTCTCTACAAAGATGACTTCATCTTCGTGCGAAGCTCAAGTACAAAATTTGAACACCAAGATCTATTTCATTTTCCAGAAAAGTTCATTTGCTCAGACTCTGCACAGAGAGAACTTTACTCAGGAAAGCTACCCCACGCAAACAACACGCAGTTGTGCACTGTAACATGTCGTTACACAGAAGAACTCTGTAAAATCTGATTTCACTACATCTGAATTTTGAACAAGTGTTTGGATAATTACTGCACTTTAAAAAATAGCGTTCATTCTTTGCCCTGGAATAGAGACACCTACATTTGCTTCTGCACCTCATTAGCTGAAATTTACGGTAACAAAACTTTCTAAGAAACCTTTTTACAAATAGAAAGCCTTTAAGAAGCCTTATTTGTATACTTGAGAAGTAGTCTTTAATGACTTGTGATGTAGTCTGGTTTTAAATACAGAAATCTCCATAATATTACAGGGAAGTCCTAAAGACTAAAAGCTTTTGAACTACTGAACAGACCTAGAGCTGATAAAAATTGCAAAGAAATTATGAAGCAACTCTAGAAGCTCTCTATGAAGCTTCTTCTAGAGAAGCATAAAAAAACCACATACATACATGAGCAAAAGGCAGTCAGTGAAATATCTTTTTAGATACACTGCTAGAAATCAAAGTATTGGCAAGAAATCTTGAAATACTGATGGAAAATGTTTTTCTTAGTTTCTGGATGTGCATAGAAAAAGAAACACAGTCAAACTTTCAAAACTAGCTAAAATAACAAAATCAAACCTGAATGAAACTTCCCATTTGAAAAAGTAAAAACATTAATGATCAAATGAAGTTGATTAATCATAACACGGATGTCTAGTATTAATGCCTTAAGCTTGCCATGCAGTTCCAGCTCCAAATACACTCATCTGGAGCTTTTCTGATGCCAGATCTCAAGCACAGATGTGGAAGATCAGTGTATTACATTGAAAAGTAAAAACATAGAAAGGGATTATTATCCCACAGCTAAAACTGATTTCTTTGGAGGGGAAAGTAATTTTAACAAGTAGCCAATCCATATTTAGTCAGCTGAGAAACTGAGACTGTCTTTGACTAACAAGGAACTGATAATGACTGGAATTGGATGGGAATGTTTTTCCCGTCTCAGTAGATTGTGTTAAAGAGGTTCTGTTCCAAATCTGAAGGGGAAAAAAGAACTCTTCGTTAACTGAACCTAACGAACTGGGAAAAAAAGTTCTGCTTGTGTAAGTCACAATGAAACATTTTATTGATAACTTTTTGATTTTCAAACTTACAAACATTTGAAAGTCATTGAAACAGAATAAATTTATACAAATCAATCTTTTTAATGAAATTTTTTTGGAGCGATAAATCAACATTTTAATGTAAAAGCTATTTTTGCAGATATTCAAATCAAATTTAGTAAAGCCACCCACTAAGACTCCACATAACCTTAACAGAAATTTTGTTGGCAACAGATACAGTAAATATCCAGCCTCCAACTCTTCTCTTTAAGCAAAACATGCAGCTAGTTCCTTCATCGGCACTAGGAACAAAGAAGAGTCTCCTGTGATAGGACAGCAACCCTCTCCAGGGAGAACAACTGCTAATAGTCTGTACAACACCACCAGCTGATGGTACTTTACAGGGACCAATGTTTACTCACTGCATCCTTCCTCTTCCCACTCTTCAAATGCAAAAGCAACTCTTGGTGAGATTCTTCACAGTGGAAAGATGCCTTTTGGAAATCTAGCAGCCCCACCTCAAGACAGAGTTCCTTTCTAGATTTTCAATTTTTTTATACTCACAAACACACACATATATATGTATATGAGAATTCTAATTTCATGAGAGAGACTGGATTCTGTTTGCAGAAGTTGTAAACAGAATAAAGGATGCAGGAAGACGGTAGTAGGCATTGTGTTTGTTCACCAAAGCACAGATTTACCTTCAAAGTAAACCGCCAAAATACAAAAGAAAACAAAAAACAGCTTGAGGGAAAGCAGAACACTGTTTTGGGAGGATGACTTGCCAGATTTTGACTTCCAAAGTACACCATGAACAGAAGTTTCTTATGGCAGAAGAAAATACAGCAAAGTTTCAAAAACACCATGAACCTCAGCAGCATTAACCAAACACTAAAGCTGACATTACAATACATGTTTAGCTTTGATCTATGGAAAGAACATGAAATACATTTTATGGAAACAACTGAATATGATTTACGGAAACATTTTTATGGATATAATATTAAATAGAAATGCTTGGATACAAATAAGAATGTCAAGAGACTTAAAGTTGTACATCATTTCTGCAAAGTCTGTTAAAGATGCTGTTTAAGTTTTGCGTCTCTATAACTCTAAACAAATGAGAAGGGGGGGGGAATGGAAAATCCAGCAAAGATAAGTTATATAACAAAAAAGGGCAAATTTAAGTAAATATATAAATAAATATTTCAACATGAAAAATTACCCTATATTAAGTAACACGATCTGGTAAGACAAAACACATAACTGAAATAATAATGTAGACACTACATATTTTAAAGCTATGAGAGAACAAAACCAAGGCAATTTATTTGTAAATATACACCCAGTGTTAGCTGAGATCAATGTGCATAACTGAAGGTAAAAGCAAGGAAAAATGTTCATAGTTTTAATTCAGAGTTTTCTAAGCGCTGACAACTCAAGAGGAAATAAAAGCATGAATTGTTCTACTGGAAAGAGAACAGATGGTCGCTCTTGAGCAACTTCAGCTATTTAAGAATTTACTAGTACAGAGAAAAAAAAAGGGGGACGGGGGAGAGCAATGAAGCAAGATGTCCTTGACAAAGTTTTTGTTAAGCTTTATGAAAGATAAATTTTTCCACAACAGACACCAGCTATTTCCTAATAGCACATAATGACTGACCTTGCTCACTTTAAAACCAGTGACAAAACTGATTTCAATAGGAAAGCACAATTATGATTTGTTGAAGAGAGGAGAAAGTATAAGATTCCAACACATCTGAAGTGTGAGGAAGATTTAATTCCTACTTAACTGGCTATCTAGTATTGTTTTTTGACAAAGACCAGCCAATTTTCTTGTTTGAGTTTTGTTCTAAAATGTAATTGTCCAGATTATCTTTTAATCTCTAAAGGATCTATTTTCTACCTTGATTTTGAGTTATAGCCAATGGTTTTAAAGGCCATAGTTATTCTGAAAAAAAAAAATCATTACATGCCTCAATCCTGCATCATGGTACAATGTGCCAAGTACAACTTCACCTTGATAAACCTCTGACCTACTGTAGATCAAATAGGATCTTCCTCTTTGAGTATCTATCCACGTTGTCACAGAATCACAGAATCATTAAGGCTGGAAAAGACCTTTAAGATCATCAAGTCTAACTGTTAACCCAACATCACCATGTCCACTAAACCACATTTGCATGTTCTTCCACAGACTCTATCATACTGTGTTAATTATCTCTGCAAACCAATTAGCTACAGGTCTCTACTATTTTAAATGTTGAGATGCAACTGGGATGGAAGCAACTTCTGGAGACATGTGCATCTAGAGGTGACTATCAATAACATGAAATGCCCACAAATCCTCCCGTGGAAGTTTCAATAAATTATGTAAAACTGCTCATCTGTGAGCCTCAAATTGGAGGCTCGTAAGTAGCAGTGAACTCCAGGGTCGGTACTGGGTCCAGTCCTGTTTAACATCTTCATTAATGATCTGGGTGATGGAACAAGGTGTACCCTCTACAATTTGCTGATGATACCAAACTGGGAAGAGTGGCTGATATGCAAAAAGGTTGTGCTGCCATCCAAAGGGAAATGGCCAGGCTGGCGAAATGGGCTGACAGGAACCTCGTGAAGTTCAACAAGAAGTGCAAAGTCTGCGGCAGGTGCAGGAACAATCCCAGGCACCAGTACATGCAGGCAGTCACCCAGCTGAAAAGCAGTGTGGCAGCAAAGGACCTGGGGGTCCTCATGGACACTAAATTGAACATGAGCATGCTATGAAAGACTTTCAGACATCGTATCTATAGGAAAATACTGCATGTTAGAACTTATTAGAACTGGATCATACTTAGATGTCTTGTTAGATTTCTGCTGGTACAAATATAGACTGGTTTGTTCTATATTGGAACTAAAGTATCCATTTGTGGATGAAATGGGCGGTGTAGTCCTTAATTCTTCTCCTACAAACAAATAGTTACTGACAACTGTAGCATATATTTCATACTTGTAGAATATACATCTATCTTACCAAAAGTTGAAAAAACCAAAATATTGCTCCAAGTACAATATAAACTTAAGTACTAGTGTAACAACATCCAGTGCCATGATATGAGATGCTATAAAACATACATGATGTAACATCACCAAAATTGTTTATTGCTAATAGAACACATACAGAAGTTAAAAAGTTTATTCTTTTAAGCTGCAAGGAAAAACCTCTTGTTCTCAGGCAACAACTACTTTTTCTGTATGCTCCAATTTTAAGTAGTTTCTCCAGGACATAAGCTCTGTCCAGAACACTATATAATATACATTCAAAAGGACAACAAGAAAGGACAGGGGAACATGGAAACAAAGACTGATGATAAAATGAAGTAGTAACTCAGTAGATATTAACTCATAGTGGACTATCTTTTTTCTTTTTTAACTTTCATTTTTCATAACCCAACACCTGAGGTATAAGAAAAAGCAGCCGATTCCAACCTGCTTGGAGAGCAGCACCCTTAGTATAGGATGGTGTGGAAGAAAGCATGGGAACAATGGGGAAAAAAATTACAGGTCTGTCATTGTCAGAACAGAGAAGAAGGTCAAGTTCTGAGATACAAGGTTGGAAGAGAAAGGACACTTAAAATGAGAGCCAGAATATTAACATAATTCAAGCAAATGGCAAAGATGGGATCAATGGAACTAATTGCTATTAAGAAACAAGTGTGTGCATGGGTGTTTTTTTTTTTTTAAAGTACTTAAGAGCTGTACTTTATGAAGTGCAGTAAATGCCTTTAATGGAACTCAAATGAGGTTTTTATTTTAAAAATTCCCTAGATCACATATTAAAAACTGAATCCTCAAGACAACACTCACAGATGCAGCATTATTACTAATGCACTAAGTTGTTCATTGTTTTATTTTTCAGTTATCCAAACTGTCTCAAATACCGTAACTGGTTTTCCACAATTGATTCCCTTCTTAAAATAAAACTTCAGTGTTTTGCCTCGGTACTAAGGAATTGCCTTATGATGACGCTTTCTCATCACAATAGATGACCTCAGACACCTCAGTTCCCTTTCATGTCAGGACTATATTCAAATTGATATTTTTGAAAAAGTTGAAGTTTTCTTAATTGTTAGGTTTCAGTTGATTTAAGACAGTGAGCATCACAGCACATCACTGAAGCCTTTAGGTCCTCTAGTGTGGGTTACTGCAGAAAAAAAATTAGCAGAATAAAGCAAACTGACACCAACATACGTTAGTTTCTTGGATCTCAATATACAGTTTTCCTTGCCAGAATAAGTCCCTGCTGCCCATAAGCTGGTTAAGGCTCTCTCCTCCTCTCTGAAACAACTACCATAAGCTTTACCATTTCTGACTATACCAAACAAAGATGATTAATTTCTTCACTGCGTAATTGGGTTAAATATAAGTAATTCAGTAAGGAAAAATGATTTTTTTTTTTTGAGCTGGTAGGGGAAATTTGGCTTGGCAGCAGAGAACATATAATCAGACCATACCAATAACATTGAGAAATAAGCAAATTTTAGCAGGACTGAACATGAGCCAGCAGCGTGCCCTGGCAGAAAAGTTGTCCAACAATATCCTTGGCAGTATTAACTGGAGCATGGCCAGTGTATCAAGGGAAGGGATTATGCTCCTCTATGCAGCACTTGCTAGACCACACCTAAAACACAGCATCCAGTGTCGGGGTTCCCAAGAGAAGGGAGACATCAATACACTGGAGTGAATTCAGCAGCGAAGCACCAAGACAGGGCGTTGGAGCACCTTCCCCATCAGGGGAGGATGAGGGCTTGCTCACCCTGGAGAACAGGCTGCTTCAGGACCTGACAGCAGCCCTCTAGTATCTGCGAGGGGGTAATGAAGAAGACAAAGCCAGGCTCCTCAGAGTGGTACATGATGACAGCATGATAGACAACAGACAAACTGAAACAAAAGAGTTTCAGTCTGGATAGAAGGAAAATCTTTTTCACCTCCAGGACAGTCAAGCAACAAAACAGTTTGCTCAGAGAGGCTGTACAGTCTGTGGCCTCAGAGGTTTTCAAGACCGTACGATAAAGCCCTGGGCAACCTCACAGTTGGCATGGCTTTGAGCAGGAGGTTGGAGACTAGAGACTGCTTCAGCAGGGGTGGCTGGCCAAGATGACCTCCAGAAGTGCCTTCCAACCCCAACCATTGTGTGATTCTGCAAATTCCTGAGGTCTCTTCCAACCTGAGTTTTCCTATGAATTTACCAAATAAAAATGTAAAAGATTAAGATAGTTGTAAAAACAAAGTACTCCATTACTTTTTGTAAGAGTATTTGTATTTCTAATGACTATTTTAAGCAGTAACTTAAACTAGAAGTAAAATTAGGTCTGTTTTTTTTTAAAATTAAAACCTATTCAAAACCCATAGAACATTTGTTAGAAGTAGGAAGCTTCAAACATAGGGTTGGAAAACAATTTGTCTGTGACTAACAAAGCTCACAGTATAAAAAAAAGGAATAATCCCTACTTTCATATTTTAACAATGTCAGTGTAAAACACTGCCATATGCCAGATGCTTAAAATCACACTGAATTTTGGACAGTCTTCAAAAAATAAAAATAGATTTATACAAACAAGTAATACGAAGATAAAAAAATACAAATTAAATCAAACTAGTCTATAAATAATAAAAAAGCAGAAAATTAAAGGCAGTGAGACAACAGCATTAGTTTCCTGTTTTAATGCAGAATTATACAAGAATAAGAAACTGTCGAGAGTCACATGTATTTTCTCCAAAATATTTTGAAAAAAATCCAGCACACTCAACTATGCTTTAATTTGACTTGTAAATAAGTCTCTCAAAAGCTAACGATACATCCCCAAACTCTAGAGATGAGTGCATTTTTTCAGTCAACTGATAAAATTCTGCCTCCAGTGAAATAAATAATTTCTATGGAAACCCAGCTAGGGAAGTTGGAAGATCTGAGTGGTCTTCCTATTTCTTCCTATTTATATCAGCAAATCCCTTTTAGGTCTCTGGCAATCTTGTGGTGTAAGTTTCCCATATACAAAAATCTTTCACTTAAAACTTTACATTTTCTTTCTCAAGCTTTTAGACTTGAGCCACCGGATCTTAAAAGTAATTTGCCTTTGGAAAAATCCGTAAAAATCTAAAGGATATTTAATGCTTTTTTGAAAAAGATTAACTAGTGCTTTCAGAATTGAAATCTGAAAAATAAAGTTTATTCAACTACAAAATGTGTCTTAATGTTTAAGCTGAACCCACTTAATTAAGGAAAATAATCATCATCTGTTGATGGAAAAAGCTACCTCCTGTGTTAAGAAACCTGTATTTAAACACTCTTATTCTAGGAGTTTACTTAACAGAAGGAAAAACAGACTAACAAGCTTAATTCAATTCTGTGGTTTAATGACTAACTCATAAGAATATGTATTGCATTCATTTTCCAGGAATGTTAGTATAGATCGCTTAGAAACATAAGAAGAGTTGTAACAGTACAGATCATCCCTGAACAATGTTTAGTGAGTGACTATGGTTACTACCATTAGCAGAAGTCTGAGATCTGGGCCTGTAACCAAGTTTATTTACAGAAGGGGAAATCCTTCTATGTACATTGAAGAGACACTGAGCCTTGTCTATGACTCTGTTACTTCAATTTTCTGCCATAGATATAACCAGAACTTGAGTTTCTCACTTTTGTGTTGATGTACTATAAAATGGTCAAATAAGGGGCCCTAATATTTTCCTAGAATAATGCAACTGATATAATGTATACCATAATTGATAATTCTGAGCTATCCTGTTGTATAAAAGCTCAAGATCCTGAAAGAAAATTTGAGCTGTTTTTATTTCTGAAGGGAAAATAATGATTAGTGTACTAGTTCAGAAATGTTTTTTTAAAGTTATCACAAGCCTTTACCTCCCAATATATAATACTTCAATGAATAATGTTTTGTGATATAAAAATTAAACATAACTAATCATTGATATCAGCAAATATAAGATAAAGAACTAGGTTAAAGGCAAAATGTTGCATTTGATGCATGTTTAGTTTCTTCTCACATCCTTTTATCTCATCTTAATCTAAAAGACAACACCTAGGCTCAGTCTAACTTGTGCAGAGCCCAGTAGGTATTGTTGTATCAAAAGCTAGACAGTGTGCCTTGCCCAACTGCAAAAGGCTGACGGTCAAGTTTGGAAAGGATCTATTTCAGCTACACAGCTATCAGTGCTACTCCTGAAAAGAGGAGAGGGCTGAAACATCTGTTAGGAATCACCTCCTTTTTACTTTCCTTGTGAATATTTAGCTTTTAGAAAGGAGAAGGGAAGAGTGAGAAAGAGAAGGTAGAACGTACCTATGGTGATACTCCCTGTTTTGGTCTCAAGGCTGGTGTTACCTAGCAGGAAAAGAAAAGGGGGCGGGGGGGGATGTTAAAAGCACATTATTTAACTGGTTTCTGAAATCATAACAAAGACTGAAGTAATGAGATCCTATACAAGGGCATTATAGTTGTAGTAGTATATCTGATTTGCATACAAAAGCAAAAAATAGCATAAACCAGTTACATTGCTTGAATATTATTGCTTTACAAACAAAAATCTCAACATATGTGGGTAACTATGAAGCGATTTACAGACAAGAAAAAACACTCTGAGTAGAGCTTAAAGACACAGACTGGATGTGAGGGAAAGAAAAGTAGAGAGGCATTGCGAGGCTAAAGCACAACATTGTCTTATTTTATTTTGGGCCAATTTTCTTTTTTTTAATTGCTCTGATGCCTGCAACAGCACTATTTAGTAGTGCTTTATTTATTTAGTAAATTAGATTTAAGTAGTATAATAGGATGAGTAACATGAACAGTTTCTATTTTCCTCTGTTATATACATACATGCCCCCACCACCACCAGAGGGGATTTTTTGCTTTATCCTCAAAGGCTACTTCCTGGCCTCACTGAACATTACCTACTCCCTTCAGAATTATTCTTGTGTGCATGACAACCCCTTGTCAATGGTTTTCACTGACTTCAGTGAGTTCCGAGTGTGTTGGACAAACTGGAGAACATCAGACAAAAGACTGTAAGGCATAAAATGTAGAAAGGTCTCCCATTGAACTTGCATTACTGTGAACAGGCACTGGTGTCTTAGCCTTAAGATCTCAAAATACATACTCTTCCCCTTTATCTATGGCATCAAGAGAATACGGGAGGAGGACAGATGTACCTCATAACAGAAGAGCCAACTATACCTCTAACAGACTAACAAAGTTGCTAGAAACTTCCATAGTTCCATGTATGTTACACATGTATAACTGCCTGAGAAAAAAATGCTTTAAGTTAAAAAACTAAACCACAACGTGTCATTCCT